TCTTAGGACATGTAATTACCGAACAAGGCATTAAGCCAAATCCAGACAAAATTAAGGCAATTACAGAATTTCCTATTCCAAAGACCACAAAACAAATTAAAGGGTTTTTAGGTCTCACCGGATTCTATCGAAAATTTATTAAAGATTACTCTCGAGTTGCACAACCAATGACCAGAATGTTAAAAAAGGGTGCCATATTAGATATAACGAATAGGGAATATATCCAGGCATTCGAAAAACTAAAAGAATTAGTCACAAACTCTCCAGTCTTGATTTATCCAGACTTTACGCAGCCTTTTAAACTAACGACTGATAGCAGTAGTGTTGCGATTGGTTCCGTTCTTTCCCAAAAAGACCGCCCCGTCGCATTTTATTCTCGCACATTGAATAATGCTGAAAGGAACTATAGCGCTACCGAGAGAGAGAGTTACTTGCGATAGTAGATTCCGTGAAACATTTTCGACCTTATTTGTATGGCAAAAAATTTGTAATCGAAACTGACTGCAAACCATTAACTTGGCTCTTTAATTTAAAAGACCCTGTATCCAGGCTGGCACGTTGGAAGGTCCGCTTAGAAGAATACGATTATGATATACTTTATAAGAGAGGTAAGGAAAACTGTGTTGCTGATGCCTTATCAAGAGCGGAACTTAACGCTGTAGATGATCAAATACCCTCATCGTCTAAGGCAAATCCTCGTTATCTTCAGATTCCTTTGGTAAGAGAGTGTCTCGAAAATAAACGTGAAAATAATCCAACTTCTGTACAAGGAGAAGTAGAAGAAAACTCTGATGAGTCATCTTCTTATAATCCTTCGAGATCGGGAACCATAGAGAATAGCAATTATGAACACCCTATAAATTTACTTCCATTTTCGGAACATCCATTGAACTATTTTAAATGTCAATTTGAATTCAAAATTTTAGGTAATTATAAAATCACCAGACAGGAGATCTTCAAAAATAAATTTAGATTGTACGTCACACTATCCTCTGATAACATACATTCTCAGATATCTCGAACACTTATCGAGTATGTAGATCCAAAAAATACATACGGTATCTTCTGTCATAATGAGACTTTGAAACCAATTATTACTCAAATAGTACGCTCCTTATTTGACCCTGAAGTTCACCTAGTTTTCACGAATAAACTCCTTTTGGATATTACCGACGAAGAGGAACAAACGAGACTAGTCGAGGATTATCACTCTAAGAATCATAACGGTATTCAAGAAACACTAAAAACATTTCAGTTAAAATACTATTGGCCCAACATGAAAAATTTATAAATGCGTTCATTAATTCATGCGAAACTTGCAATCTGGCTAAGTATGATAGAAACCCTTACAAACCACCATATGAAGGGCCATTTATTGCGAAATATCCTTTTGAAGTCGTTCACATTGACACATTCAAGATCGATGGCAATAAGTTTTTTACTATTTTAGATTTATTTTCTAAATACGGCCAGGCGTACCATATTACGGATGAGAATTCAATAACTTTGCTTGAAACAATACGTTACTTTATTAGTCATCACGGAATCCCTGTTAAAATTACGTGTGATAACGGAGCTGGATTTACATCCAAAACTTTCAAAGAATTTTGCGAGATACATAAAATCAAGGTTCATTTTACTACTCCCGAAAATCCCTCATCTAATTCTCCCGTTGAGAGATTTCATAGTACTCTTAAAGAAAAATTAATTGCATTAAAACTTCAAAATACAAAAACGGACATAAAGGAGCTCATGTTAACTGCGATTCTAAATTATAATCAAAGTGTACATAGTTCTACAAATTTTTCTCCACACTCCCTTCTTTATGCTCCATTCAACAGAACAAATATAACGAGCATTGAATTGAGCAAGGACATCTACGAACAGTACAATCAAAAACGCATTGATGAGCTTAAATTATTATATCAGTCGGTAAGTGATAAATCTAAGGATAAGGCAGAAGAGGTACTTAATAAGAAAAATGAAAATCGCTTCGAACAGCCGGAAATTCCAAAGGAAACTACTGTTTTTGTTAAGTCCAGACAACGAACCACAAAAATCAATCCAAAACAGGTAAAAGCCCGAGTTAGGAAACTGTCAAGAAAGCAATTTATGAATACGGGTATGAAACTTTAATTTTTAGACTACTTATTTCTCTACGAGAAATCTCTGATTACCTCGGACTGATCCAAAGCACAATATCCCTATCACAGAAACATATGACCAATGTAGCTAATTTTAATGTTAAGGAACTGATTCATATTGAAGAATATCTCAAATCTGTTTATTCTAAGAAAAATTTGGTTCTCTTAGATGAAACTCATCCTTTCGAAGTACTTAGCCTGAGTAGAAGTAGTATTATTTATACAGATGAAATAATTTTATGCGCAGTCGAGTTACCTATCTTGGAATCTACCAAATATAAATTATCAAAGTTATATCCCTTGTTAAACAGTAACACCATGTTAGTACTATTCCAACATGAATATTTTTTGTATAACGATGTATCGATTAAAAGTTGTCCTAAGCAATGTAAAAGATCCATGAATCGATTTATTTGTGAAACTTCGACTAATCAAAAATGTACGCCTCGATCAATTGATCAATGTAGCATTGTACAGGCTAAAAACTTTTTAAGCTTAACATATTTGCTCGAGAGTGATGAGGCAGTATTATTTTCTAGCAACATCAGAATCACTGTTTTCGAAAAATGCGATGGCGAAATCAAGCCTTTTAATCTAATTGGTAATTATATTTTAAGTAGTAACTGCACACTGGTTATAAATGATGTATCATATGTTCTTCATAGCACTGTTATTCCAACAGAGCCCTTGGATTTCAATATTTCTGACTTTACATTAAAGCCAACACACACGATAGATACTTTCCATATTACTAGTAACGATTTTTCTGATATCAAGGAAAATTTAGATAAAATGAAAGAGGTTGCACCAGTTAAGTTTAACAACTATCATTCTCATGTCAATAGTTCTCTTATAATAGGGATAGTCGTTACGATATTAATTATACTTGTATTAAAATCACGTTTGTGTAAAAGGCAAAAATTATCTCAAAGGAAAAATGAAGTTGAGTCTGATAAGAACGAGGACGTTCTAAGAGTTTAAGGAGGGAGGAGTTATGTCCATGCTCACCCTGTACATTATATAAAATTATAATTTACTTAGTAGGCACTTGATTTCTCACGAGCAATGACGCGGCGCTCAAGAATGTTATCTCGCGCCTTGCTAGTTCTCATGTTAACATCGTTTTCTTTATCATATCATATTTCTTGTATACCATGCTAGATTCATATGTTAGGAAATCTCGTCACTTTTGGGTTGACCGTCTTGTTTTACGTACCTACGTGACAAGGTTTCTCTAGAAGTCACTCTGTACCGATTTTGGAAATAAAGTTTTTTTTTAAAAACATCAATCTCGGTATCAGTAATTTAACTTGCGTACCTATTATTTTTTTTCTATTTTTATTGTACTTACTTCTTTTACATCTTGTTCTGTTTATTATTATTGTATCTGTTGTTTTCTCGACTAAACTGTGTTTCTTTCCATTTTTAACCGACAAATTTATGTATTTATACTTAATTATATTTTTAATTTTTGTAGATAATAATGTACTCATAGAGATATGCCTGACAAGTATTATATCATTTCTATGATCCGAAGACAATAAAAAGCATCTATCTATTTATCTATCATTTGTTCACAAAATTGAACTCCCCTATCGAACTCGTCTTCGGTTAACTCTTGCAATATTTTCATATTGATGAGATTCATGCATTTTAGTAACTGGGTGTACAGAGCCCAGTCGCAGCAACACTTTTGCGTGATTAAGTATTAGACTTTATTCCAAAATGCCCCGAAACTTCAACTTGAGCGGCTTCATCCAAAACTATCCGATGATCACGTTTTTTATTTGCAACAGATCCAGTTTGAATAAATTTACTAACAAGGTCCAAAACATACATATGCGAACTTATCTTCCCGGATGTCTGGCGTTAAACATGACGGCAGTTTGCCGAGTACATTGAGTTTGCGCACATTTCCACTCTTTCGGCTAGTGTGTAAACCATTTTGGAAGTAAAATCTGGATCAAAAAATAATTTACACTATCCCAAGGTTGTCACAAAGGTAACTGACAGCAAATTAAATTAGCAACAAATAACTAAACAGGTATAACAATAAATACAGTTCCGTCAGGATATCTGTTTTGATGAAGAGAATGCGGAAAAAAATCAGATTGTTGTTATTTGGTTGTTGCCACGTCTAATCCGTTTCAAATTATAAACGAATTGTAGATTTGGCAAACCCTAACGGGCAACATTTCGAATACTTGTTGAAATAAAAAGTGATATCTTCGTGTGTTATTGTTTTATATCTGAAAAGATAAATAAAGATTTTCCTAATTTTCTCGAAGACGAATCAACTGATTTTGAAAAATCAAACTATTACTGTTAGGCCGAGGGTGGAAAGGGGTGAAATAGCTTTTGGCTAAAAAGTTGTTCCGCTTGACAAATCTTTTGACGTGTCTTGGCGTTTTTTTCTTTCAATCAGTGGTTTTTGATAAATCCGTGGTGAGAAATTTTCAAATGAACCTGTATACATAATACAATACTGTATAACTCGCATCATAGAGAGTGTACAAGGTCTGTAAATTAAGTAATGAGACTAGACACAGACTAGACACTAGAACACAATAGGAAACCGGGTACTGAAGGCAGACCACATGTTCCCCTGTCTTCCCTGCAAGCCCGGCGCCGCCATTGTTGCCAGATCGAATACTACATTGCCAGTCTCATTACTTAATTTACAGACCTCGTATGTTAATGCAAATTGCAACATTAGTGCGGTGCTTCTCGGTATGTGCTTTCATAACAACACATGGAGTTTCGCCACAGGCCAGTGTCGCCATCTCTACTCCCTGCGATGCCTGAATTGTATAATAGTGATATCAAAAATACTGCTATTATGCATTATGTTTGTAGATTGGAAGAAGAACAACAAAAGTCTCATGAAGCGGATGAAACCATAAGAAAATTGCGACAAGATGACGAAAAATACATTATGAGAGAAAAACTTGTAGAAATGAAGCAGCTGGTAACAGATTTGGAAATCGAAAACTCAAAGTTGAAGTTTGAAATAGAACAGTTAAACGATGATGTTGACACTTACAAAAGACAGCTGGATGATGCTACTGAAGAGCTGAAACAATCAGCAGCTAGGTATTTTTGAGATAAAATTGGTACAATTTACAGATTTACTTTAAGAATATCATAATACTAAATTGGAGCATCTCTTTATGGCAATGTAGTCATGTTGATTTAACGGGGGATCAATTTGATATCGATTTTGAATTTTAAAAGGTGCTGTCAACTGGAAGACGAAAAGGATAAGCTAAAAGAATCTGTTTCTGAGCTAGAAAATGAAAAAATTGAGCTGAAGAAAGAAATGATACAGGAAATGACTGAGGCAAACAGAGCTAAAAGGGTATCGGTCGATACTGAGATTGCTTTACAACATATTGCTGAAGCTTACGAGACAAAGAGAAAAGAGGTATGCGATGTTTTATGATACAATCCAGAATACTTCATCATGTCATGATATTATCTATGGAACCTCCCTAGCTAATATCATACCTACCTTTGATTTTTGTCGTCTATCCAAATGATATCATTTTGTAAGATAGACGCCAAGAATATATGTCGAATATTTTGGATGCCAAAAATCTAAATAACAAACATTAAACAGGCGATTTTTATTGATTTGATATCGTGAAACACTGTGAAAGCCCGAATGCTAGGTTATTAGGCCAATGACTAAGTGCTTATCTCTCAGATAGGCATTAACAAGTCGGCATAGGGCAGGAAATAAGTGACACAATGACAGTCCAAGGTATTGTTCTTGGTTCTGCTTTATTTCTAATTCTTATAGATGAACTGTATAATAACTCCCTATGCAAACGATACTGTATTGAACTGCTCTGGCAATGCATGGATAGAAGGTCATGATACGGCGAAAAAATGGTTTTATTGATATAGAAGATTAGATTGATATCAATAATTTCAGCTAAGGTATCTACAAAACTAAGGTTACTGCCTTCTCACCAACATGTACGTATTACCTCAATGACATTTCTGTTTGAAAAATGTCAAAATTATATAGCCAGTAAACCGAAAAGTGTAAGTGAGCTATTCAAAGCAGATGCTCTATTGAATGTGATAGCTTCTACATCTATGCATTGCTGAAGATAATTCTTGGGAAAACAAATTTCGAAAAGATGAGTCATGCTTATGAAATGAGAAGAAATCAAAAACAGCTACTCATATATCAAAATGTAAGTGAAACTGTATGTCAAGAAAGCTACTTTAATGGCATCAATATATACATATCACATTATTCTAAATACTTTAAAAGAATAAGGAATTACGAGTATATTATATATAGTTTAATCGAGAACATTAGTAAAATAAAATAGTTAGATAGTTTATTATTTTAGGCCTTCATCTAAATTGTATATCATATATTCATTCCACTTTGCTATTATGGTATACATACTGCCTATTTAGTCAAAATTTCAATTCAAAGTAAGACCCATAACCACCTAGTCGTAGGTGTGCTCTTTTTGGAAATATTATTTGTTAGTATATAACATCAGTATCTTCTATGTAGCCATGTTTCAGAGGCAAAACAATCTATTTTATACATATATTACTTACTATGGAGTTAGTCAATTTCCTGTAACTTTAAAAGCACATTATTCAAAAAATGTATATGCAGATTAAGTTTACAAGTACATATATACTACTATTAGTCAGTATTTACAGATTATAAAGATCATACTAAAGTCATAGTTAGTATGGTGCCAAGAAGATATTTACTGCTCTAGTTCTCTAGCATCTCATTCTGAAGTACTTTCATAATATTGTGTGGTGTCTCTATTCTATATGGATATCTGTGTACTAGCAATGTTATTAAGAGGGAGCATATCTTCCTTATGAGTGACTCCAATGATAAGTTGCTATTAGGTCTCTGCTAGTAGAATGTATTGCGGCTACTGGAGTTCTTGGTATAATGAAGGTGATTTCAGATAGCACTTCTGAATAGTTGAGTTGGAAATGCGGAGTCTCATGTAAGAATAAAAGGAAGTTCTTGTTCCGGCTCGACCGTAAATCTGTCATGTCAAAGATGTTAAGTAGCTCAGCGTGATTAAAATGCTGACATGGATAGTTTCCAAATATTTTAAACACCAAATATTTGACAAACTGACTTTGTACATTTTCTAGAGCCTGTTCATGAACTTTGTATATTCGGTTCCATATAATGGAGGTATATTCCAGCTCTGATCTTATGAAAGCCAAATACGGTCTCTTCCATGTTCATTGACTGATAACTTGCTGTCAAATATGACACCAAGATCTTTATGAAGTGGTGACAGCGCTGCGTGAGGTGCAGAGTCAACGTACTTGACGACATTTTTTATATTGTTATAGATGGCAGCATTAATGCAGCAACAAGATGACGCAGAAAGTATCATTAAGGAGTTCAAAGATCAATTTGCTGCCGCAGACAATCCCGAGTTTTGATCTTAGAAGGTCATTCTTGATAAATCAGCTTCCATCTGTAAGAAGTCAATAATAAAGTCAACTTTAAGTGCCCACCTTATTCAATTGAACGTGTACCATTATAAAATGGAAGTAAGTGAAGCCTTCCTCAAAGCGAAATTTGCAACTTTCTAATTCACTTATGAAATGCTTAGTATATTAACTTTGCTTAATAGATGCAATCTCTCAAATGTTGACAGACACATGCACGCTCATCACCATTAAAACTTATCACAACTCACTTAAAACATAGTACACGTAGTACATGGTACCTACCAGTGAATAAAAGGAATGATAATTTCTTATTTATTACTTTAAGCAGTTTGATCCAGTTTCTCTTCCGGGATATCTCCCATCTAACAAGAAGTAGTCGTCCATAAACGGGAACGATGCGATGTACCTATGTTATCTTGCACCAATCTGTTGCGTTTAATATAAATACTGATATAACATATTTAGTGTTGTGTGTTTGTGTGATTGGTTCCGAGGCAATTCGATACTCTTCTTTCATACTTCTTGGAAACAACTTACTCTAGACTGTAGCTAAAAAAGTACAATGTTTGCTCATACATAGTGATACTTAATGGCAAATAAAGACTGTATCCCCATCTATGAGCTCAGACTCCGTTCAAATCATTTGAAAAGATTTGGTTAAGGTGTTGATTTGTAGAAATGTTATTAGTAGTGGTATATTATCGTAAACTGCATTGCTTAACACTTACAGAAGAGTCGCTTCCAGTTTAATTTTCAAAATGAACACTGATCATTTTCCGTGTTTGACTAAATGCAACTGAAATATTTACCGGCATTTCGACTGCCTCGCAGGCCCTTTTCAACGTGTTCATTTGGCTAACGTAAGCTGTGCAGCGCTTTTATGCTGAGTAACAGTAGATGTGGAATGGCTTTCACATTAGTTACATTTGATCAACAAAGTATCAAATCTGACAGCAAAGCAAAGCTGGTTTCAAACTGTAGCGCTTCATTTTAGCTGATTGCCCTCATTGACGATATATTATTTATTGTACGCAAGTAGTTGGGAAATCTGACAATTGACACCTACCAATGGTTTGACATTGTATATACTATTTATTTTTGCTGCTACTATACGATGTGTTGCAATGAAAGCCAGTCTCGATCAAAAACGTCGCCCGTTTAAGTCGTTATTTGAATAATAGCGCCAAAAACAGTGAACATTTTTTGTACTTCTACCATCAAATTGGCTAAAACGTGAGGAGGTACTTCAATTAAACATATATTCCACTTATATATACATTCGAGCAGAGAGTAGGATAGGCAACCCGAGCGATACGTATTTCTGCTTGTTGGCTTCATCAGGTCCGAAATGAATGCACATATTATGCAACCACAAAAGTAGATACACTTGCCCATACATCCGGATAGGGGTGTAACCTAAGGAACTGAAGATGCAGAAGGGAAAAATGATACACCAACTTCCCAACAAGAGCCAACCTACACATTGTAGTATAAAATGGCTAGAAGACCTCGAATTTTCAAGGCGACATGGAACCACAATCACGCGGCCGGTTATAGCCACTTCTAGGTACTTCAAGCCCAAAGAATCTATCTACGAGGAGAAAATAATCGTGCAGAAAAAGGTATTTAACAAATAGAACAATAATGGGCAAACTCCGCAAAAAAAGAAATGTGAATTCTGAAAAAATAAATGTGTGGGCTGGCATTTTCGGAAATCATATTGTAGGATCTCAATAGAGCCACGAATTACCGAAATACTAGAAAATAATAGAAATTATAATGAAAATTACATTCATTCAAAACAGGATGGTGCACCGCCGCACTATGTGGCTCCAGTACGACAGTTTCTGGATACCCATTTCCCGAATAAGTAGATCGGCAGACGAGGCCCCATCGAGTGACCGCCGAGATCTCCGGACTTAAGATTACTTTCTTTGGGGGCATTTGAAAAGTAAACTTTAGTACATAGATAGATTCCATTCAAGATCGACGTCATCCAAGAACTCAGGACATGCTTGAAAATGTGATCAATAGATTCGAACAAAATCTTTAATATTGCATGGAGGTAAATGGACACCACTTTCAGCACTCATTACCACATTGATCTACCTCTTTATAGCAAATTAATTTTTACTTTAACTTTAATGTGCGTGTAGCTGTACGTTGTTTTTTGTGTTTCTAGTACTCGGAGACTTGTTTTTAATTTTAAAGTAAAGTGTTGTTACTATGGGAACTTTACTGATTATTATTGTCACGATATAATCTCTCACAATTTCTAAAATTTTATTATGAATTCTTAACAACGATTGAAGACAGGTATAAACTTTATTATACAAAAGTTACTAAACACTTCATGGAGGATCTAAAAATAAAATCAAAATTGACGTGTCCGAGCGTTTTTACCAAAACATACCGGGAGAGTCACAAATGGGCTGCAATCTTTTCGTTCGACCACCCTGTAGATGAGGTGAATGCTTGGGGTTTCCAAAACCAAACAATTTTAAATAACTCGAAGACAATGTCAATACAACACCACCTATGTAACTCTTAATCTTTGAACTCAGGTTTTACATCAAATGTTAACCTAGCTGATGAGGTGAAATACTTAGGCTGTACATATTTAAGACTGTTCTCTAAGGAACATACAGATTGACAATTTCTGGAAAAGTTAAACTGTGTCATTTATGCCTGTCAGCTAAGGAGCTGCCTCGTAAATTACGCCCTGGCCTACTCACATTTGATCACGTTTATCAGAGAGCGTGTATTGAGTCTAGCACGTATTTACATATTACACTGTTTTCTGTACGTAAGATTGCACTGAGATGAATTTGAGGTCTATACTATGCGCCATAATCTCGACACGAGGCATCGCAATCTATTACTATCCATCCTCAACCATTGCAGTGACAACGACTAATTTATGCAAGACAAAAATTAGTGAACTGATTCTGACTAAAGCATCATAGCTGTAGAGAGTTTTGGGATGGCACTCTTTAATAATAACTAATCTTTCCTTTTTCCTTCTCTAATTATGTTTATAATAATTTGCTCCCTGTAGATAATCTGTGTTTATATTGAAGGACGCTTAACATACTTTCCGAAATTTGTACTTGGGTGTTATTTGTTTGTTATTTACATTTTACAATATATTCATCATTTGTACCTATTTATGTTACGTACGTGATAATGTACACATTTGTATTAGTGGTCAAAATAAACAAACAAACAATTGCAGACTGTATTACCACATTACCAGGGTATGTGCGTAGCAGTAGACGCTGGGTGCAGACTGTATAGTGTGCGGAGGGGGACAAAATGCCCAGTCATGTAGAAGTGGAAGGCCTGAAAATATTTCTCCAAATAAGCAGACCTCTATTTCCTTAGGAGACTGAACATACTGGAGAAAATATGAGCAGGTTTGAGCCACAATCAGTGATTGCAGTTTTCGTTCGACTGTCAAATTTGATAGAATGTTGGTTGACGTTGCAACTTGTCAAAGTTATTCCAGAACTACTGCTATTCCACATAAAGCCCTGCACCGCTAGCTGAACGGTCCATTTAAATTGGTCATTTCTTAATAACCATTAATAAACAATGTTTGTAGATGAGATTTTTTACTTTATGTTTTTTCGATGTTATGTGACATGTATTTCCGTCGGTTTGCTTGTCGGTCGGCCCGCAAATCCTGGGCTTGTCTATAATAAAGTGTAAAGTACCGCTCGAAAATGTTTATATAAGGTTACTTCTATTTCAAGATTTGTAGCTTTTGAAAATCACTCTAGCTGTGGCGAGAAAGGTGCCAAAACCGAAAGAATAAACATCGTTCAAACTACATTCTTTTACGTCTCAGAGAACTCTGATCATTACTGAAAAAATTTTTAGGGGCAAAAAATTGGGGATGGATGTTGTAAGGAGGTGAAAGAGGTGTACTAAAACTTTTTGGCGGCATCATATTTACAAACTTGTAGCCCAGTAATTCTACACGGCTATTAGTCATATTTGTCACATATATTGAATATTTTGTTTTTAAAGTGCAGTAGCCGCTAGCCCCTGCTTGCTCCCGCGGACCACGCGACGAATTTGTCTAAACAACTTATAAAACGTCAACGATGCCTCGGCGATGTAACAATTGTGACTCACAGGGCAATATATTTTATTGAATAGAAATAATCACATAGTGTGTCAACAGTAGTGCTGTAGTTATTCAGATGTGACATAACGAATAGACGTTCACCATTCTTTTGCGAATATGAATATATTTTGTGGAATGCAGTATCTCATCTGTTTTTAGTACCTTTTCCTCAAGCAATAATACCAGGGCGTGCGAAAGCTGTCCTCGGTTATTTAAAAAAAATTATATATACATAACCGACCAATAGAAAGCCTACCAGAACGCAAGAAATTTGATTCAGGCATTATGCATATTCAAAGCCCATAATTTTTTACTGTTATTTATTCAACGGTCTTTTACTAGGGTACAATGATTTTCACAGCCAGAAAACAATAAAGTTACCAAAGCGTGCCAGCGTTGACTCAGATACCAAAGTTCATTTGTCTATAATTATGTAGGAAGTACAAAGTCAATCTACCTGACGCTATTTGTTGGCGTTTTTTTTATATAGCAGGTAATCCAACCTTGTGCTTGGTGTCTCTCTGGAATCACCGCAAAGAAATTTTTAATATTTATATTCAAGATATTCTTCAGCATCTTCAGTCTGTATTATTATAAACCTCACACCTTAATGAATGTCTTTTTCCAAACGCCTTAAGAAAAGCTATATTTAACGAAAAACAAAAGGAATGCTGAAAGTGCAGAAAAACCAAGGTGGCGCACAGTGAATCGCGCCCCATTCAGGCAGAGAAGCCTATTGAACGAAACTTGCGAAAAATTAGATTGAATGGCATAAAAAGGTTCGAAAAGATCGTGCTCAGACAAATATGAAAACACGTAGAAACTCCCTAAATACGATATAAGCTCATACAGGGTGTTAATTAAGTAAGTACCATAAATTTAACAGACGACTCTTTGAGTAATTTCAAGACAAAAAGTAGCATAGTTCCGCAAATTCTTCATTCTCAAAATACAGGGTATATAGTGGCTATAACCGGCCGCGTAGTTGTGGTTAGATGTTGCCTTGAAAATTCGAGGTCTTCTAGCCATTTTATTCTACAATGTGTACGTTGGCTCTTGATTATGACTTTATGTGTTATTTTCTTTCCCTCTCCATCTTCGTTTCCTCAGGATACGCCCGATTCCGGATGTATGGGCATGTGTATCTACCTTTGTAGTTGCATATGTGATCCTTTGAGCTTGAAGTATCACAGCAAGTGGCTATAACCGGCCGCGTGGTTGTGATTAGATGTCGCTTTGAAAATCCGAGGTCTTCCAGCTGTTTTACACAACAATGTGTAGGTTGGCTCTTGCTGGTGACTTTGTGTCTAATTTTTTCCCTCTCCATCTTCGTTTCCTCAGGTTACACCCGTATCCGTATGTATGGGCTTGTGTATCTACTTTTGTAGTTGCATATGTGCATCCATTTCGGGTCTGATGAAGCCAACAAGCAGAAATACGTATCGCTCAGTTTACCTATTTTCTGCTCAAATTCACTTTAAATTTCTTTGGGTTGAAGGCAAAGTTTTGCATAAGTCCACTCTTAC